AACTGTGATAATTTTGGTCACAATAACCGTGAGGTTAAATTTTCATACCGTGACAACCCTAGTGCGGGGCGGAATGAGAAAATAAGGAGGTAACTGCCGAACGAGAGAAAGGTGTGTGTGGACCGGCAGACTGTTGGCATTTTTGAGCAAATATGCTGAATGAGAAATGCTTGGGAGAATAAGAAAGCGGGGAATTATTTTTGTTTGGACTGAGCTCATTATAAATACTTTTTTTCGCTGTGTAAATGTTGGCATTATTTTTCATTTTGGGATCCTAGGTGTGTAAATAAATACACGGCTTCCTGACTACCGGCTTGGCCATTGAGATTTATTTTCCGTTGTGGAACCTTTTCTGCAAGTGGTGTAGGACGAACCCACAATACATTTGGTGTCAGAAGTGGGATGGCAAGCCGGAAGGGGAAGGGGCCGAAGCCCGGACTGCGCTCCCAGCAGCCGGCGGAGGTGGAATCGGCGTGTGGGGAGAGTCAGACAACATCAGCGGATGAAAAGATGGGTCATCCGAAGACGGACCCTGGCGGATCGGGGAGCGAAATAGTTTCTCTGCTACAGGGCTTTGTGGAGACGCAACAAGGAATGGAGGATTCCATGATGCAGATACTGCAAGAGTTGTAACGATCTATTCAGCCAGCGACGATGCAAGTTTCCCATACGGCAGCCAGGCTGAGTACAGATTCAGTGAGTAGTCCAAGATATCTGCTGCCAACACCGGCCTCACGCCGAGCTGTGGAATCGAATTCCTCTTCACCATCACCGGTCAGACATCGGAGACGTTGACGAGATGAAGGTCGACAGAGACCTTCATGAGGGGATTGTTAAAGATCCCTCCCTACACGGCGAGTGAGGAAATTGATGATTATCCGATGCGATTTGAACGCATAGCCAAGACCTGGAAGTGGCCGAAGGCGGAATGAGCTTGTCGACTAGTCCCGCTACTTTCTGGTAAGGCTTTGGCAGCCTACACGGCGATGGACGAGGAGAAAGCCCATTGTTATTCGGATTTGAAGGCAGCACTTCTTGCCAAGTTTGACATCTTGTCAGAAACCTACAGACAGCGGTTCCGATCGATGGCGGTACCACCGGAGGAGACGCCCGCCGAGGCATACTCCCGCCTGAAGGGACTCTATCAGCGATGGATCAAGCTATCACAGCACATGAAGAAACAGATCAGGGAAACCATCATCCTGGAGCAATTCCTGCGGGTGCTAAACCCGGAGGTGAGAACATGGGTCAAGGAACACGAGCCGGCGGATGGACAGGAGGCGGCAAAGCTGGCGACGCAGTTTCTCAACGCACGGAGGGGAGGACCTGGTGTGGGCTTCAACAGCAGGAGTCGCAGAGCTGCTTCACTGCTTGAACTTCGCGGCTCTAGCAGGGACCCGAGCATTCAGGATGGGCAAGGTAACACCTCCCGTGAGCCGAGTCATCCTCAGCCCGGTAAGAACTTTTTATGTTATTATTGCCAGCAAACAGGCCGTAAGGCCTCTGTGTGTCCTGTACGCAAGGCTAAGGTCACTGAAACTTGTTACTTATCCCGATCTGAAGAGGGGATTCCTGGGAATCAAAATTATGATCAACATCAACAACAAGTGACTGTTAATGGACGAACGGTGACTGCCCTCTTTGACACTGGTAGCTTTACGTCGCTGATAAAGCAGAGTTTGTTACTGGTATGGCAAATAGATTATGGGAGACAGGGGGACATTGTATGCGTGCATGGTGATCTGCACTCATACCCCAAAACTGATCTAACTGTGGTTATGAATGAACAATCAAACTTGTTGACATTTGGAGTTGAGAGCTTGCCAGTGGATGTTATTTTTGGGCGGGACTTTCCAGTACTTTTTCATTTGTTACAACAAAAACAGTCCGTTCAGATGGACGATGGCAAGGGCATTGAAGAGCATGAAAATGTGAATGCTTCCTGTCCAGTAGTTACGAGAGCACAGGCTAAAGCTGGTGTCCTGCCATTACCAGATCTAGATAGTAGCCTGTGTGAGGGTGGCAAAAAAGGGCCTAGAAAAACACGCAAACAGCGTCGCTTTGAGAAACAACTTAGGCAAGAAGAACCTAGTAAGTCAGATTTACAGTGGGATGTTCCAGAAAATATATCTGTTTTACAGAGAGAGGATGAAAGTATGAAATCACTGTTTGTCAAAGCAGAAACCGGATGGAGTGAAATGAGTGTGGGAGGATCGAGGTTTCTGGTTGAAGGGGGTGTACTGTACAGCATTGTAAACGAGTGTAAACAGCTGGCTAATCCTGTGAGTTGTCGACCTGTCATCATGCACATAGCACATACGGTACCGTGGGCAGGGCACTTGGGACGTCATAAAACCTTTCTATGAATAAGTGCACGCCTTTTCTGGCCCACCATGTATACAGATGTCCAGACATACTACGCTAGTTGCGCCATATGTCAAAAGACTGCTCCCAGCCGTAAATCAGATCGGGGGCTGCTTCTACCTTTGCCATTTATTTCCACACCCTTCCGTAGGATCACCATGGACATTGTGGGGCCATTAATAAAAAGCAGTAGTGGTCACCAGTACATACTGGTTGTATGCAATTATGCAACCCGGTTCCCAGAGGCTTTTCCGCTTCGTACAATTACCACTCCTGTTGTACTGAGAGCTTTGATGCAACTGTTTTCACGGGTAGGGACCCCGAATGAGATCATAACAGACCATGGTACCAACTTTACCTCCAAGTTAATGCAACTGTTTTATAAACAACTCGGAGTTGCTTTGATAAAGACAACACCATATCATCCACAGACTGATGGCCTGGTTGAAAGATTTAATCAGACCCTAAAAAGGATGCTCCAGAAGTTTGTGGATGATACGGGGAGGGATTGGAGCCGTTGGTTACCGTTCCTTTTGTTTGCGTATAGAGAGGTACCCCAGGCATCAACGGGATTTTCCCCCTTTGAGTTACTGTATGGCTGGGATGTTCGGGGGCCATTGGACCTGCTCCGGAGCGTCTGGGAGACACCACCTGTAAATAAAGGTAAAGGGGTTGTTCAGTTTGTATTAGAGGGAGAGACTGGCAAAATATCAAGAAGCGGAACTCAACTTGCGGGATGCACAAAGAACACAGAAGTTGTGGTACGACCAACATGCCCGCCATAGAGAGTTTCAACCAGGGCAGAAGGTCCTGCTGCTGCTACCCTCCTCCAGCAATAAACTCTTGGCTAAATGGCAGGGTCCATATATGGTCACCCGGAAGATGGGACCTGTTACTTATGAGTATGAGTACTTTTTTATCCATCAACTGGATAAAAAAAAGGAAAGACCAGATTTATCATGTTAATCTGTTGAAGGGGTGGAAGGAGATGGCAGCCCAGCCATCAAGAAAGACACTGGTGGTGAGGAGAGTGGATGCGAAAAGTGGCGAGGACACCGAAACTGCAATTCTGACCAGTGCCACCGGTACGGTCCCGAAGTTGACACACCTACCAGTGGAGCACGCTTCTCAGCTTCAAGAAGTGTTCTAAAGTGTTTCCTCCCTTTTCTCAACCACCCCAGGTAAAACCCCTTTGGCTCAACATAAAATCCGATTGAAGGGCGCAACACCTGTTCACCAACACCCTTAAAGGGTCCCTCAGCAACTGATAGGGAAGCTTCAGGCTGAAATAAAGGAGGTGTTGAAATTTGGGATTATTGAGCCCTCCACATCAGAATGGTGTAGCCCAGTGGTCATTGCATTTAAGAAAGATGGTTCGTTAAGGACATGTATCGATTTTAGGAAACTCAATGCTATCTCAGTTTGATACATATCCGATGCCACGGGTTGATGATCTGCTGGAGAGGATTGGAGCTGCGAAGTTTATTACAATGTTGGATCTATGTAAAGGCTACTGGCAAATACCCTTGGAGGAGAATTCCAGGCCATACACTGCATTCAGAGTCCCGTCTGGACTGTTCCAGTTTACGGTGATGCCCTTTGGGCTACATGGGCACCGGCCACCTTTCAGCGGCTGATGGATTGGGTTCACCAAGGCTGTGAGCACTACAGTGCCGCCTACCTGGACAATGTGGTGGTTTTCGGCAGTTCCTGAGAGGAACATGTCCAGCATCTGGCCCTTGTTTTAAGGAAGATTCAAGAGGCTGGACTGACACTGAGCCATCAAAGTGTGAGCACAACAAGAGTACTAGGGCTATCGACTGGCGAGAGGCGAAGTTCGCCCCCAAGTAGACAAACTGGAGGCAATCAGAAAGAGTCCACAACCTCATACTAAAAAGGAGGTGCGATCCTTCCTAGGACTAGCGGGGTGGTATAGACTATTTGTTCCCCACTGGCTCGATCTTAACTGTGGAGTTTCACGTGTTGTGGAACCGTAGCGTGTCAAAAATAATGGTAGTGTGCCCTTACTTCTGTCGCGCATCCAAAACTTCACTTTGCTGCTGCTGGATAGGAACTCACCCACTTTAACGGCAGCTAATTGCCACGAAGTACCTTTCACAACCGTTTCCGAAACCAAGGTAACAGTGATGAAAAGCAACTAAATGTATGACAAGCTCACATCTGTCATTTTTCAGGTTCTTTTATAAAATAAAATGAAACTGGTTGGTTGTAAAAGAGAACAGAATGGTTGTTATAGCGATGAGTTCACATTTTCTCATACAACTCGTTAAGGTCTGTCTTTGGACATAAAACTGCAGTGATGGAAGATGGTTTGTTGCTAAATGAAATAGCCAATCATAGGACAGCCTTTACAGCCAATCAGAGGTGAAAAAGGCGTGACCTTCCTTGGACATCCTATGATTAAAAACAATGCTAACTGGCCAGCGACCTGTGGTGTCTGAGCTGTAGCTCTGAGCACTGATCTCTGACCTGGATAAAAGTGTGTATTACTCATACCTAATTATGTGGTTGTGTTTTTACTCCTGATGAGGGTTCAGTGTGCTCCTCAGTGGTAGTCTGGGTTAGGGTTAGTCTGGATGATCATCTGCCCACCAGTCCTCTCTGTGTCTGATCAGGATGTGAAGCAAAACGGGGAGTGGGAGTTACACTTCAGAGGCCTGCTTCAGTCCCTGACCTCCATGCTGGTGCTGCTCACCACAGCTAACAACCCCGATGGTACTGAATCAGCCAAACACAGCAGCTGATCACTGTTACCGTCATCAAACTGACTAACCTTTGTTCTCTGTCTCAGTGATGATCCCTGCCTATTCCCTTAACCGAGGCTACTCCATTTTCTTCATCACCTTCAGCGTCATCGGTAAGCACCAGGATCGTAATATTCCTGAAGGTGTATATATGGAGGTTATCAGTTACCTTGAAGGAGAGTGTTTGTTGTTTTTCTCCTGAAGGAACCTACTGTCTGATGAACCTGCTGACTGCCATCATCTACAACCAGTTCAGAGGATATTTACTGGTGAGTCTGCCGTGGCGCTGCCAGTCCTTACCCATAGAAGCACTGAGATTACATTATGATCATGCCTTAGTGCAGGAGGGCCACTATCCAGCATGTTTTAGTCGTTTTCCTCATTCTATACACACATTTAGGTGCTTCAAAGATTAAATAAAAATTAAGCTTAAACACTTTTAAAATATCAGCCTGACACTACATAGAAATAGTAGAAATTCAGTGTAGCTACACTTTATCATCTATATAAAGATGAAATGAGTTCAGGATTTTATTTTGTTAAGGAAATTTGTCACAAATTGTTTAAATTATCTCTAAACAGTGAAGAATGTGTTTAACACTCAAAGACATCTTACAGGAAGCTACTACCGCTAGTACGTCATCATTAGCTGTAATTAGTTTACTTTTGTGCTCTCAATTTTTATGGAAAATTGTGTTTACAGCGGCAGCCATAGACCATATGTCTGAGTCCTACTGTGATGGACCAAGCAGTCAAGGACAGTCAGGCACAGGCTTAAAGTTTGACAAAAGCATTTTTTTTTTAATTTTACCCAAAAATTAACATTGATTAGATTACACAAAAAAACGTTCTTGGGCCCATAAAAGCGGTCAAGGTAACAGAACTCCACTCGCAAAACTAACTTAAACCAGCTGACCTAATTAACTGAGACAAAAAGGGAAGCTTAAATATTGGCTGATCAGACCGCTCAAACACAAAAAGGGCAAGGAACACTAAAAACCTAACTAACACCTATACAACAAAACCCATTTTTGCCCCATAGTCTTGAGCAGTGGTATGACCCAATCTGCAGATCTTCAGAGAAGCTTGCTCTGCCCCCTTTCCACTTCCTCTTCCAGCCAGGGGACTGGAGCAGCTGAGGTAACTCAGAAAGAAAACAAAGGTAAATTAATTTATATACATAACAGTGTAAACTAGTGATGGAATGATGATACCTCAAGGAGTGTATTGACACACTAGACAAACTGTGTCGGCACTGTATTGACACTGTGTTGGTCACTCAATAGTGACACCTGCAGTATTTCTAAAATCATTGCAGGTAAACAAGATGGAAAAGCTTACATGCTGCAAACCCACACCAGGTGTGCAAGATTTAATTTCCTGTAATCAAAATATTATATCATTATGGAGTTTAATTTACTCAATTTGTTAAGTTAAGTTGTTTATGCAAGGAGTTTAACATTTGCTTATAACCTTTGTGTAAATGCTACAATGAGTTGGCATGTTAAATCTTCTGAATGTGTCTAATAAAAATCAGAAGTAAAAGTTTTAACTTATGTAAATGTGTTAACCTCTGTGTTAGATCATACAAAATAAAAGACTAAATATGGATTCATTTATGCATTTTTATTGAGGAACAAAAGTTTCTGCAGTGTGTTTGCTCCAAGGCCATTTCTCCTCTTAGACACCAGTTCCCCTGCCTTAGAAAACACTCTTTCACAGGGTACAGATGAAGATGGTGTGCATAACACACACACACACACACACACACACACACACACACACACACACACACACACACACACACACCATGAAAGTACTTGATTAATTAAAGCAAATATTTCTTAAACATACCTTCCTGCTTGGTAGAACATATGAGGGTGCAATAAGCTTCAGGAGCTCCCTGAATCCCTCATTTTCAACAATGGTGAGTGGCTGGCAGTCTTTGATGATCATGTTTACCACAGCCTCATCCACTGCTTGCTTGTTAGGAACTGCAAGCCAAAAGGAAATACTTTTTTAAAAGCTTTAAAAAGCTCATTAAAGGGATTTTACAAGCAATACTACAGTCACACAAAGCCTTTTGTCTGTAATAGAATATTTTTGACAATTCAGATGTTTTTTGTGATAATTTCAACATACCTGGGGTATCTACCAATTCATCATTGCCATGCCGAGCTCTATAATGCCTCAGCATTGATGAAGTGCTCTTATTGGAGTAAGACAGCTCTGTGGAGCAGACCCGACACTTCACCTACAATAAAATAAATAGTTAATTTATCTGAAAACAATTTAAGCCTCTTACCAGAGAAAGACTACAAACACATTTAAACTACAGAAATAACCGTAAACGTTGCCAAATGGAGAAAACAATTTACCTTTTTTGGCGTCAAAGGATCAAAATAATTCCAGACTGGGGAAAACTTCTTGGAACGATCCATGAAGTCAGCGGAGAAAAGTGAGCGTGAGGGTAAGGAAAAATCCAAAATCCAACAGCAAAACTCTATCCAACAAATCCGCAACATGTCGATACAGTTTGTTTCCTTATAAACACAATTTGGTGCGGCGCATCCAAACGACACACTTCCTGTGTCGGTCACGTGATATTTTCTTACAGCGATACACGCACCAATACGGGGTTTCACTCTTGTGCAGTCGACACTGTGCTGACGCGCCAGTGTCGTTCGTCCCATCACTAGTGTAAACTAAAATGTGCACACTTATATTAGAATACAGTGTTAAGCCATAAATGTAATCAAATGAATCAAACCCAGAATACGTTTCCACAAATTAAATCCTGTATTTTAAAGAAAACAAAATGTAGACAAAATTGTGAATACTGGATATGAAGACTGTTGTGTAAATATTACCTTAATTGTGTGGCCTAAGAAGAAGCCATCACACCTACACACATTTTTAAGTAACATAAATTTGGTCTAAAATAACAGCCTACATCTGAATCCATCTGGAACCACACTGGTCCTTCTGGACTCTAGTCCTGTTAGCATGACTGCAGCAACAATGCTAACCAGGTTAGCTCTGGTAAGGATAAAACAAATCATTTGGAAAAGCTGCAACACACAATCACACACATCCACATATTTCAACTATAGATCCCCATGGGACCAGTAGAACCTCAGTGCAATCCTAAATTCTCAATATTTTCTGGAGTTATATCAATATACACTCACTGGCCATTTAATGGGTATACTTTGCTACTACTGGGTTGGACCCTGTTTTGCTTTCAGAACTGCCTTAATCCTTCATGGCATAGATTCAAAAAGGTGCTGGAAACATTCCTCAGAGATCTTGGTCCATATTGACATGATAGCATCACGCAGTTGCTGCAGATCTGTCTATGATGCGAATCTCCCATTCCACCTGTAGCATTTTGTAGGTGGTTACTTTTAATAAACTGACAATAGAATATAAAGGTATTCAATAATATGTAATATCACATAAGATTATGGATTATCAATATTATCTAACCTTTGATATTCGATTGATGGTGAATCTAGGTACTTTGGGTAGTACCAGGGAAACAACACTTTATAATAATTTGACACAGAGGCAAAAATTATATAGTTTATAAAAATCTATTTATTTCTATATTTCTAGTACTATGATGATGCAGAACAAATGATTATAAATGATGAGGTAAGGTGATATCAACTGAGACACTGAAAGGTGATATCAACTGAGACACTGAATAAGCGAGGATGAAATATGAGCTTAGATGTTATTTTAAAAAACCTAATTAAGTGTTATAGAAAATTGTGATGTCTAGATTGTAAAATAAGTCTGGATGAATGTTTTCTTAGGTTAACAAATGATCAAATTAATAATAAAAATCATCCAACAGCAGGTGTGTTTTACGATCCCCTTGTGATGAGGCTTCTCGGCGATCCTACTGGCCACAAAGTATTCTCGGCATGTGAGAAGTTTGAATTCTAGATGTCAAACGCCGTATTCCTCTGAATTTGCATCAGCTGGTCAGAGATAACCTCCAGGTCTGCTGGTGAGATGTTTCATGTCTGAAGAATTGTTTCTCTAATGGAGTTTTGCAAAGAAAATCTTACCTCTCCTCCATATTTCCTCCTCTCCTCCATATCTTATCCTCAAGGCCCTTTGTCTGTCTGTGTGTGCTGGGTGCACAGCTGCTTCTGCATTTTTTCTGGAAACTGCAAACTGAAATTCACTAAAATGGATCTCGTCAGTTGGTCACTCAACGCGATTGATAAAAATTTTTCAACAATGAGAACGGGAGAAGGGGCTTCCGGATGCCCCTCCGGGACAGACCCAGTTGGACACATCATGGACTCCTGGAAACAGTGGAGCTTGATTTGTTTATGTCAGCTGTCTGTGGAGGACTCTGAAGACGTGTGGATATTCGTGGTGTTGGTGTCAGGTTTCCTGCTCATTGGCCTTGGAGGCTACCTGGCTTACCGGAAAATGAACGAGCTGTCAAAAAATATTGGCCTGATCCTGGAGCTCAGAGATGGTTTGCACCGTGCAATGAATTCACAGACTCACATAATTGTCGAGATGAATCGTAAGCTTGGAACTTTGGCCGAGATTCATTATTGGCACAAATGATGGATGTCATCAAGGAGAGAGTGGACGAATCAGCAGGGATTGGGATAGATTAATTTCCATTATTGGGATTTTGAGAGGTTGAGGACCAACAAACTGTAAGACAGAGAGGAAATTATCTCTGTCTGGCCCCAAAACAATTTCTAATCGGAATCTGGTGTCCTTGAGCCTGCAAGGCTCCAACTAGAACTCCCCCCTCAGAAGATATGTGGAATGTGCCGTCGCTATGGCAACTCAACTCTGTCTCCTTTCCCAGTCTGGGCGGGACTGCAGGAAGGCTGCTGAAACGTTCCAGGGTCATTGCAACCCTCCAACCCTCAATGCTCCTTCCCCTATCCACACTGAGGTGACATGCGCTGCTTAATGTGGCTGCAGGAACTGAAGTGGGGATAGTTTCAACCCACTACCCCACCTAGTGGACACTTATCTTGTGTTGTCGGAAGTCTGTTAAATCACTTTTCTTGCCCATTCTGAAGCTCGGTTTAAACTGCAGCGGACCATCTTGACAATATTCTTGACAATGTCAACATGCCTAAATGCATTGAGTTGCCGCCATGTGATTGGCTTTTTTCTTCTTCCGGCTCTTGGAGAGTACAGACGCTTTTTTCTCCTCTCCATCCCTCCTAATCCCAAGGCTCTTTGTCCTGTCTGTGCACGGCGCTTTCTGCATTTTTTCTGGAAACTGGAAACTATTAAAAATGGATCTGGTCAGTTGGTCTCTCAATGCGATTGACAACATTTTTTCAACGATGAGAACGGGAGAAGGGGCTCCCGGATGCCCCTCTGGGACAGAGCCAGCTGGGTATATTATGGACTCCTGGAAACTGTGGAACCTGATCTGCCTCTCTCAACTGTCTGTAGAGGATTCTGAAGATGTCTGGATATTTGTCGTTTTGGTGTTGGGATTCCTGCTGTTTGGCCTGAGCGGTTACCTAGCTTACCGGAAAATTAATGAGCTTTCAAGGAATATTGGCTCAATCCCGGAGCTCAGGGATGGAATACATCGTGCTGTGAACTCACAAACTCATAACTGTCGATGAGTCGAAAGCTTGGAACTTTAGCTGAGATTCAGGCTCTGACACAAAAGGTGGATACCATCAAGGAGCGAGTGGACGGATCAGCACAGATTGGGATTGATTAATTATGCCGTTATTGGATCTAGAGGGGTTGTGGACCAACAGAACACTAAGACAGAGAGGAAATTATCTCTGTCTGTCCCCAAAACAATTTTTATCTGAATCTGGTGCCCTTGGAGCCTGTGAGGCTGAAGTGATAACTCCCCCCTCAGAAAAAATGTGGAATGTTACTGTCGCTATGGTAACTCTCTCTCCCTATCCCAGCCTGGGTGGGACCGTGACCGATGAAGGCCGTGGAACCATATCTAGGAGTCACTGTGCTCTCTAACCCATTATCTCCCTCCCCTGTCCAAACGGAGGTGATGAGCGCTGCTCCATGCGGCTGCACGCACTGAAGAGAGGAGAGTCCCAACCCTACCTCCCCACCTAGTGGACAGTTATGTTGTGTAATGTCTGAAGTCTGTGTGCATATCTGTCTGAGGTGTTTGTTTTTTTTTTTTTTTTTTTTTTTGCATAGCAAAGCTGTGGAGAGTAACTCTGAAGTGCCTTTTTTCCCTTCCCCGACTCTATCCGCTGCATCTTTCCGATCATTACTTCATCCATTTCAGCACGACTCTACAAGGGAGGTCCACTGCTTCCTCCCCAATGGTCTCATTCCACCGCAACCTCCGCAATCTGGCACCCAACCACTTCTCCTCTCTTGTTGCCTCCACTCTTCAATCTCCCAGCACATTCTCTGCTTATGAAGTGAATGATGCCACCGAGTCACTCTGCTCCACACTCTGCTCTTGTCTTAACAACTTGTGCCCTTTAGCCACTAGACCTGCTAGATCCTCTCAGTCGCACCCTTGGCTAAATGATATCCTCCAGTCTCGACACACCAATCTTAGAGCTGCGGAACGGAAATGTCGCAAAACAAAAGATCCTGGTGATCAATTGAAATTTCATGAATTACTGTCCTCATTCTCTGCCAGCATCACTGATGCAAAGAAAGCTTTCTACACTGACAATATTCTCAGCTCTACTGACTCTCAGAAACTATTTTCAACATTTAAAACTCTGCTCAACCTTCTATCTCCACCTCCTACTAACAATCTATCAGCTGACACCTTTGCCTCATTCTTCACTGACAAAATGGCAGCTATAAGCAAACAGTTTACTCAACTGGCCACTCCTGAACATTCGCTACCACAAACCCCTTCTAGCCCAACCATCTCAAGCCCTACTGCTTCATTTTCCTCTTTTTCAACTCTTACTGACAACTGTGTCCAAGCTTCTCACGTGCAGCCGCCCTACTACATGCCCGCTTGACCCCTTTCCGACTAAGTTGCCCCAAGCTATTGCTCCTACAGTAGCTGCAGCAGTCACACATGTGATCAACGCTTCACTGGCATCCGATACATTTCCCACCTCTCTCAAGCATGCTCAGGTTAAACCGCTGCTAAAAAAAAAACATCTCTTCCTCTGAATCATGTGAAGAACTACCGACATCTCTCTCCTCCCTTTTCTGTCCAAAATCATTGAAAGGGTGGCTTTCAAGCAGATCACAGAATACCTCTTACAAAACTGTCTGCTTGACCCTTACCAATCTGGGTTCAATAAGGGCCACTCCACTGAAACCGCTCTGTTAGCAGTGACGGAATCCTTGAAAGAAGCTAGAGCGACTGCCAAATCCTCAGTGCTTATCCTGCTCGACTTATCGGCTGCACTTGACACTGTCAACCATGGCTTCCTTTTGTCCACACTCTCTAGCATGGGCATCACAGAGAAAGCACACGCCTGGTTTGAATCGTACCTCACAGGACAATCATTCAGTGTATCTTGGCTTGGACAATCCTCTACCGTGCGCCATCTTGCCACAGGAGTCCCCCAGGGCTCGGTACTAGGACCTCTTCTCTTTGCCATATACACCACCTCACTGGGTGAGATCATTCGATCACGTGCTTCTCCTACCACTGCTATGCAGACGATACCCAGCTCTGTCATTTCAACCGGCCGACCACACTGTCTCTGCACGAATATCAAACTATCTCTCTGGCATCAAAATGGATGAAATCCCACCATCTCCAACTCAACCTCTCTAAAACTGATTTACTTGTCCTCCCAGCAAAACCATCCATACAGCACAATATCTCAATCCAAAATTACTTCCTATCTCTGGCTCCTTCACAGGCAGTTCGAAATCTGGGTGTTGTGATTGATGAACACCTGACATTTAAAGATCATGTTGCCTCTGTTGCTCGTTCATGCCGCTTTGCACTGTATAACATACGAAAGATCAGACCATACCTAACACAACATGCCACCCAGCTCCTGGTGCAATCTACTGTCATCTCCCGCCTCAATTACTGCAATGCCCTTCTAACTGGTCTTCCAGGCTGTACTGTGAGACCTCTTCAAATGGTCCAGAACGCAGTGGTGCATCGGTCTTCAATCAGCCAAAAAGAGCACACGTCACCCCTCTGTTCATTGAGCTCCACTGGCTACCGCTAGCAGCACGCATCAAATTCAAATTGCTAACACTAGCATACAAAGTCCGAGATGGTACGGCTCCCATCTACCTGAATCCTCTTGCAAAGGCTTACGTCTCGGCCCGGCCGCTCCGGTCATCACAGGATCGTCGGCTAGCAGTGCCTACACCATGCTCAGGACAATCCAGACTCTTCTCATGCATCATTCCACAAATGTGGAATGACCTTCCAAGCACTACCAGAACAGGGGCTTCCTTTTCAATCTTCAAGAAACTCCTGAAGACCCTGCTCTTCAGAGAGCATCTTCTAAACTAGCACCCTCCCTGCACCCATCCCCCCTTTCTATCGTCCACTGCTTGTTTGCTCCGCTCCATGATTGATGTCAAGTTGTTGTTGTTATTGTTGTTGTTAGCCTCAAGGGCAACATGCCGATTATCACTTGTAAGTCGCTTTGGACAAAAGCATCTGCTAAATACATAAACATAAACAAACATATCCTCATTTAAAACCTCTTGATCTATTAAGGTAGCGCAACTCGGGTTGTGAATGACCACAGTCTCCAATTCTTGTCATGTGTCTATGTATGCATGTCTGATCTCAGAATTGTGTGTACTGAAACTCTAATTTCCCTCTGGGATTAATAAAGTATTTTTTTATTGAAATGAACCGAATTGAATTGAATTGAAATGATTTGAACTGAATTGAGTTGAATTGAATTAGTCATTTGTGTTAACAAGCAGTTGGACAGGTGTACCCAATAAAGCACCTCTGTCAGTGTGCCGCAGGGCAGCTGTGGCTACATCGTAGCTCATCACCATCAGGGTGTGAATGTGTGTGTGAATGGATGAATGATACACTGTAGTGTAAAGCGCTTTGGAGTCCTTACTCTGAGAGGCGCTATGTGAGTGTGGGTCATTTATCATTTACCAGTGAGTGTATAAATGCAGCAGTAATACTGGCTGCACATTGTTTTATTTATCTATGGAATATTTAATTATATTGGGACATTTTGATTAAATTAGACTCAACAAAAATATAAACGCAACACCTTTGTTTCTGCTCCGATTTTTCATGAGATGGACTTAAAGATCTAAAATTCATTCCAGATACACAATATTACCATGTTTCTCAAACATTGTTTACAAATCAGTCTAAATGTGTGATAGTGAGCACCTGTGCTTTGCTGAGATAATCCATCCCACCTCACAGGTGTGCCACATCAAGATGCTGATCCGACATCATAAGTAGTGTACAGGTGTACCTTATACTGCCCACAATAAAAGGCCACCCTGGAATGTGCAGTTTTGTCTCACAGCAAAATGCCACAGATGCCACAAGCATTGAGGGAGTGTGCAATTAGCATGCTGACAGCAGGAACATCAACCAGATCTTTTGCTCGTGCATTGAATGTTCATTTCTCCACCATAAGCCCTCTCCAGTGGCGTTTCAGAGAATATGGCAGTACATCCAACTGGCCTCACAACCACAGACGACATCTAACCACACCAGCCCAGGACCTCCACATCCAGCAGGTTCATCTCCAAGATCGTCTGAGACCAGCCACTCAGACAGCTGCTGAAACAATTGGTTTGCATAACCAAATAATTTCTGCACAAACTGTCAGAAACCATCTCAGGGAAGCTCAACTGCATGCTCGTCATCCTCATCGGGGTCTTGACCTGACTCCAGCTCATCACCGTAACAGACTTGAGTGGGCAAATGCTCACAATCGATGGCGTCTGGCACATTGGAGAGGTGTTCTCTTCACGGATGAATTTCGGTTTACATTGTTCAGGGAAGATGGCACACAGCGTGTGTGGCATTGTGTGGGTGAACGCTTTGCTGATGTCAATGTTGTGGATCGAGCAGCCCATGGTGGTGGTGGGGTTATGGTATGGGCAGGTGTCAGGGACTTGCATAAACCAGCCAGCAGAGCACGGATGATTTTCTTGACATGTTAATTTATTACTTTTTTTTCTTTTCTCCAAAGAGGGTTCCAGCCAGCAATTAACATTACATGACAATGGATGTAGAAACAAAGTAACCCACACTCAGAACCTGACTACAGACATGTAAAAAAAAATAGCCTCCTACAGACACAACAGGATCAACTTAAATAGTGGCTGATCAGACCACTGCCAACACAATAGGGTGGGAGACATCAGTAAACAAAGAACATAAATAAACTACTGCTAACAAATTCATACTAATCAGTCCATTCTGTTTGAGTTACTTCAAATGAAAACATATTACTATCAAAACCCAACTATTATTTACAAAAGAGAATAACTAAATACATAAACACAGGAATCTTCTCCCTTGAGTTGGTATGATCCAATGGTGCTGATTAGGCCAAGTGATCTGCTACAGCTGCTCCAACGCCAAGGCCACTGGCAACTCAAAGAAAACATATTAATCATACAAACCCCTACAGACTAAAACCGATGAGTAACTGAATGTGTGCACTTCATACAGTCACCCAAACAGTCAATCCATGGAAACAAACACCTTTGTTCAAAATAAAACATTAACAGTTATTTGCTTGAAGTGTGGCAGCAGGGCAGCTGTCACAGTCCCCCCTCCTTAAGAAGCTACCCCGCTCCAGCGGGAAAGATAATCAGCAGTCATATTAGCCTTGCCTGGGACATGCTGTACCAAAAAGCGAAAGGGTTGCAGTGCAAGGGCCCACCGAGTAACACGGCTGTTTGTGTCCCTCATACGATGCAGCCATTGCAGAGCTTTATGGTCTGTCTGCAAGGTGAATTCTCTGCCAAGCAGGTAAAACTTCAAAGAGTCCAAGGCCCATTTAATGGCCAAGGCCTCCTTCTCCACCGTTGAATATTTCACCTCCCTAGGGAACAACTTACGGCTAATAAAAGCCACTGGATGCAGATTCTCATGACCTTGGAGGAGGACTGCACCAATACCTCTGTCAGAGGCATCCGTCTGCAAAACAAACGGTTCATCAAAGTCAGGACATTTGAGGACAGACTCCTTACCAAGAGCATGTTGCATGTCTCGATACGCTGCCATGGCCTTCTCTGTCCACTGGATGACATTGGGATACTTTGATCCCGTCATGTCCGTGAGTAGAGCAGCCCTAGATGAAAAGTGGGGAATAAATCGGTGGTAATAACCTGCCAACCCCAGAAATGACCTGAGTTGCTTCTTGGTTCTGGGTGTTTGACAGGACTCGAGAGCTTGTACTTTAGCGACTAGGGGCTTAACAACCCCATCACCTACTCGAAACCCCAGGTACTCTACCTCACGGCGGGCCAACACGCATTTGGAGGGGTTCACCGTGAGCCCAGCATCTCGGAGGCGACTCAGAATGGATTGTAGATGCTTCATGTGATCCTCCCATGACCTACTGAAGATAACAATGTCATCTAAATAAGCACATGCATAGTCTTCACAACCTCTCAGAACCTCATCCATCAGCCGCTGAAATGTAGCAGGTGCCCCATGCAACCCAAACGGCAAAACTGCAAACTGAAACAGGCCCCATGGGGTCCGGAAGGCAGTGAATTCCCTTGACTCCTGGGAAAGTGGCACTTGCCAATAACCTTTACACAAGTCAAGGGTACTCAGGAACATGGATTTTCCCAATCTGTTAATCACATCATCAATACGTAGTGTGGGGTAGGCATCAAACTTTGATACCGAATTCAGATACCTGAAGTCAATGCAAAAGCATATTCCTTCCTCCTTCTTAGGGACCAGAACCACAGGATTACACCACTCACTCTTGGAGTCTTCAATAATACCAAGGGACTGCATCAGTTCCACTTCTGCCTTAAGGGAACCCAGGAGACGCTCAGGGATTCTATAGCTCATGCGTTTAGCAACTGCATCCCGTTTTAACACAATGTTGTGTTCAAGAATGTCTGTGCGCCCTGGATACTCAGCAAAAACTTGAGGGTGACACACCATTTTTATCTGGTTTTGCTGTTCCATGATCAGGTGACTAAGATTACAAACTGTAGAGGATGGAGAGGGCATGTACTGGTCATCAACATCCTCCTCCTCTGCTACTGCTCGGATCAACATCACACCTGCTCCTGTTACAGAACGGGGTGTCCATTCCTTAAGCAGATTCACATGCAGCACTCTCTTCGAACGGGACCTACAAGGGTCACATACCTCGTACGTGGTAGGCCCAAGCCGTTTCACCACCTCATACGGCCCCTGCCATTTAGCCAGAAGCTTACTTTCACGGGTTGGCAACATGACTAGGACCTTCTGCCCTGGTAGAAAGTCCCTTTCCCGTGCAGACTTGTCATACCAACGCTTCTGGTACCTTTGGGCTTCAGCCAGATGCTGCTGAGCTAAAGTTGTCATTTTCAGTAACCTCTCTCTCATCTGCAAAACATAAGAGATCACATTAACAGGCCCCTCCCCTCTCTCCTCCCCAGTCCAGGTCTCTTTCAATAAAGCCAGAGGTCCCCGCACCTCATGCCCATACAAAAGTTCAAAAGGAGAGAAGCCTGTTGAGGCTTGGGGTACCTCCCTGTAGGCGAAGAGAAGGTAAGGCAACCATTGATCCCAGTCAGAACCAGTTTCATCAACGAACTTCCGCAGCATTTGTTTTAGAGTCTGGTTAAATCGTTCGGTTAAACCATCAGTCTGGGGATGATAAGGGGTAGTTCGAATCCCCTTGATCCCCAGTAGTTGGTACACCTGCTGCAATAAAGTAGACATGAAGTTAGTGCCCTGATCAGTCACAATTTCACGAGGGAAACCCACCCGTGAGAACAGCTGCACCAAGGAAAGAGCCACTGCTTTTGCTTTCATCGTCTTTAGAGGAAATACTTCAGGGTATCTGGTTGCATAGTCTGTAATTACCAACATATAGCGATAACCCGTCTTACTCTTCTCAAGGGGTCCCACCATATCCATTCCCAGACGCTCAAAAGGAGTGTTGATAAGAGGAAGTGGTTGCAATGGTACCTTTGGAGGGCATTGGTTGGATGCTAGTTGACACTCAGGACATGTTTTACAAAATTGGGCAACATCGGACCTCAGACCAGGCCAGTAGAAATGGCGTTTAATACGGGCCCATGTCTTCTGCTTCCCCAGGTGGCCAGCCCAAGGAATAGCATGACCCAATTCCAGCACCATCTCTCGTGCCTCTTGTGGGACCACCAGCTGCCTCTGTACTCCTTGTTGCCGATACAAAATGTCATCCTGTAAAACATACTCAGCACAGCCCTTGTGCTCACCACTCTCATCTCCCCGGGCCCTCTGAATGAGTTCAGATAGTTCAGGATCATCTTGCTGCATCTGGGCCATCCTTGAAGGCATTGTGAAACCCTGTGGTACCTCTATCAGGTCCTCCTTAGACATCCTCGCAGTATGTAGAAACTTCTCCCGCCTCCGCTGCTGACGGGACTTGCGTAGTTTCCCAGGCTGCACATCCAGCTCAGCGTCGAAGAAGGGCAGCGCACTAAGAGGCAGAAGTGTCTCCTCCTTCTGCCTCACCTGAGAGCGAGTAACCACAGCACAGTTCAATGGAGCCTGAATCAAGTCAAACAGGATTGGTAAGTCACTACCCAACACCACTGGAAAAGGAAGGCTGTTTAACACTCCAACTCTCAGCAAATGAACTTGTCCTTGAACTTTGATATACAGGTCGGCAGTAGGATACCTCCGCTTATCACCGTGCACACATTGGATAGGAATGGTGTCTAACACATTAACAAGGGAATATGGGACCAGGGTTCTTTCCACTAGTGTCTGAACACTACCGGTGTCAATCAAAGCTTCCACACTCCTCCCATTTACTTCCACTTTGGTAACTTGTAATGGTAGAGCACCCTTTAGGTTTTCCTTTCCTTTTGCTGGAACAACACACAGTTGAGTGGTTTTAGCAGTGTTTTTGGGGCACATAGGTTTAGTATGACCTGGCAGTCCGCACAAATAGCAGATAGGTTCTTTATATTGTTTAGGAAACACCCCATCTGGACGAAGGTCCCTCGAGGGACCCTTACCTGCCGTAGCCATTGCTGATTGGAATTGAGGTTGTCCATATGGGGTTCTCCGATTATCCTTCTCTTTGGAAGTCTTCCAAGCAGTGTAACTCCAGGGTTGTCCTTTTCGTCTTGCTGCGACAAACACCTCTGCTAATGAAGCAGCCTTGGACGCAGATGGAGGGTCATGTTCCTGAACCCAAACCTGAAGCTCAGGGGGCAGCATACGAAGAAACTGCTCTAAAACAATCATTTCGCCAATGTCTTTAACAGTTTTACCTTGGGGGTGGATCCATTTGTCATAGAGCTCTTTTAGCCTGACATATAGCTCTTTAGGAGTCTCACCCGCTTCAACCTCTGTCGAGCGGAATCTCTGTCGATAAGTCTCTGGGTTGATATCATATTTCCTGAGAATAGCTCCCTTAACAGACTCGTAGTCACGTACCTCCTCAATGTCCATGTGCACATAGGCACTCCTGGCTTTCCCAGTGAGTAGTGGTACAAGGTGGAAAACCCAGTCAGCCATCGGCCAATTACAGGATGCGGCAATCCTCTCAAAAGTAATCAGGAAATGTTCAATGTCATCAGTGTCTGTTAACTTTTCCAGTCTAGGCTCTGAGAAGGAACGACACTGACCTGGAGAGCTGATGGTCTTGAGACCCTCGGCCACCTGTTCCTCGTCGCCTTGCTCCAGCTCCTCAGAATCAGATTTCCTGAGAGGGTGTGGCTGTAGCTCCTCTTGCAGATGCCGAAATTGTTGCTGAAGCTCCTGGAACCTCCGATCCTGACGTCGTGCCTCTTCCATCAACATGTGATTCTGGGCCGTCTGTTGGCTCATGTGTGCCTGAAGTATCCCAACAAGATCTGTTAACGTTGGCTCCCGGGATCCTTCCGCTTCCACAACTGCAGGGCCAGCAGCCCCCTCATCTTCAGAACCATCCGACTGCTTTTCCGGTCCAGCTGGCTCCAAAGGCTCCACAGGTCGTCTGCCCCTGCCTCGCTGCATGGTTTCTTCCCTGGGTCTCACTAATTCAACACGTACTCATGGCTAGCAAAATCCCACCTCTGCCACCACTTGTCAGGGACTTGCATAAACCAGCCAGCAGAGCACGGATGATTTTCTTGACATGTTAATTTATTACTTTTTTTTCTTTTCTCCAAAGAGGGTTCCAGCCAGCAATTAACATTACATGACAATGGATGTAGAAACAAAGTAACCCAAACTCAGGATCTGACTACAGACATGTACAAAAAATAGCCTCCTACAGACACAACAGGATCAACTTAAATAGTGGCTGATCAGACCACTGCCAACACAATAGGGTGGGAGACATCAGTAAACAAAGAACATAAATAAACTACTGCTAACAAATTCATACTAATCAGTCCATTCTGTTTGAGTTACTTCAAATGAAAACATATTACTATCAAAACCCAACTATTATTTACAAAAGAGAATAACTAAATACATAAACACAGGAATCTTCTCCCTTGAGTTGGTATGATCCAATGGTGCTGATTAGGCCAAGTGATCTGCTACAGCTGCTCCAACTCCAAGGCCACTGGCAACTCAAAGAAAACATATTAATCATACAAACCCCTACAGACTAAAACCGATGAGTAACTGAATGTGTGCACTTCATACAGTCACCCAAACAGTCAATCCATGGAAACAAACACCTTTGTTCAAAATAAAACATTAACAGTTATTTGCTTGAAGTGTGGCAGCAGGGCAGCTGTCACAGCAGGCATCTGTTATGGATGAAGAACACAGGTGCATTTTATTGATGGCATTTTGAATGCACAGAGATACCGTGATGAGATCCTGAGGCCCATTGTTGTGCCGTACATCCATGAACATCACCTCATGTTTCAGCAAGATAATGCACGGCCCCATGATGCAAGGATCTGTACACAATTCTTGGAAGCTGAAAATGTCCCAGTTCTTGCATGGCCAGCATACTCACCGGACATGTCACCCGTTGAGCATGTTTGGGATGTGCTTGACCGGCGTATATGACAGCGTGTACCAGTTCCCACTAATATCCAACAACTTCACACAGCCATTTAAGAGTAAGTAAGTAAAAGTTTATTTATATAGCGCCTTTCACAGATATAAATCACAAAGCGCTGTACAACATGATAAAGATCAGGGCAAATACCTCTAACGAATAAAAACATCAGAATTACAATAGCAGTGATAAACGTAGAAAATAAAATCATGAGTAAAAACAAAGTGAAGGTGTGAACCCGAACAAAGCCATCTTTTTGAAACATTTAGGGAGGGAACGCCTGGATGAAAAGGTGAGTTTTTAGATGATTTTTAAAGACCTCTACAGTGTTAGAGAGACAGAGATTTGAAGGTAGACTGTTCCAAAGTCTGGGTGCAATAGTCTGAAAGGCCCTGTCCCCTTTGGTTTTCAGTCTGGTTCGAGGAACAGCCAGGAGGTTTTCAGATGTGGATCTAAGGTTCCGAGAGGTGATGTGTGGGGATAAAAGCTCAGATAGGTAGCTTGGAGCCTGGTTGTTAAGAGCTCTATAGGTCAGGACTAAAACTTTAAACTGAATTCTATATTCTACCGGGAGCCAGTGGAGGGACTGTAAAACTGGAGTGATGTGAGCTCGTCTGCTGGATTTGGTTAGGAGTCTGGCTGCTGCATTTTGGATGGCTTGAAGGCGTGAGAGGGAGGTTTTGTTGAGACCAGTAAAAAGAGCGTTACAGTAGTCTAAGCGTGATGACTCAAAGGCATGGATGATTTTTTCCAGATCTGCAGTAGAAACCAGTTTACGGACTTTTGAAAAGTTTCTCAGTTGAAAGAAACAAGAGCAGGAGATGGATTTGATGTGTGTCTAAACTTAAAGCTGGATCAAAAATAACTCCTAGGTTTCTAATGTTGGCCTTGGCTGATGGGCAAAAAGAGGCAATTTCCTGCTCGATTTTTGGCTGAAGTTCCGGGGGTGCAGCGATGAGGGTCTCTGTCTTGTTAGCATTGAGGACAAGAAAGTTGCTGGACAGCCAGTTACTGATCTGGGTCAGGCAGAGTACAAATGTGGCCAGCCTGTCCAACTGGTGTGGCATAAAGGACATATAGAGCTGTATATCATCAGCGTAGATGTGGTAGGAGATGTCTGGGAAAGACTGAATGTTAACCTGTTTAGTAGAACGTTGTGGTCTACAGTGTCAAAAGCTGCACTGAGGTCAAGCAGGACCATGACAGAGCATTTCCCAGCATCAGCAGCCATCAGGAGGTCATTATGCACCCTTACTAGAGCAGTCTCAGTTGAGTGCTGCTTCAGAAAGCCAGATTGGAAGGGGTCAGAGATCTTTGACTTAGAAAACTAGGATCTGAGTTGGGTTTCAACAACCTTCTCAAGTACTTTGCTGATGAAAGGTAGCTTAGAAATGGGCCTAAAGTTACTGGTGGAGCTGGCGTCAAGGTTGGGTTTTTTTAAGCGAGGAGTCACTACTGCATTTTTAAAGTAAGATGGAACACAGCCTTGGCTCAGTGAGCTGTTGATCATAGTCAACAGAGATGGACTGATAGAGGCAAGGGACCCGACTAAAACAGAGGGAGTTAAGATATCTGATGAGCATGATGAGAGTTTCATCTGACTGATTATTGAGGTTAAGTCATTTAGTGTAATTGGGGAGAACGAGGTGAAAGACTCGGAGCACTGGGGGGGCCTCCCCTCCTGAGGGGGCGAGGGCTGGTGGAATGCTGGATCTCAGATTCAGCACCTTGTTTTCAAAAAAGTGGAGAAATCTGTTACAGTCATCAGCTGAAGATAGCTGAGTCTGCTGCGGAGAAGACACGATGCTGGAGATGGTATCAAACTAAACCTTAGGATTATTCTTATTTTGGCATATGAGGTTGCTGAAGAAAGCAGACCTGGCATTTTCTACAGCTTCGTTGTATGACTCGAGAACTTCTTTAAAATATTCGCGATGAACAACCAGACCTGTCCTCTTCCACCGTTGTTCCGCTTTTCTATAGGAGCGTCTAAGTTCAAGAATCTGGTTGTTCAGCCAGGGTGAACTAGAGGCACTGGAACTGCGGCTGGTTTTGTAAGGGGCGACCTGATCAACCTGATCAAGAGGACTGGACCAACATTCCACAGGTACAAATGACAATCTGATAAACTCTATGCAAATAAGATGTGTTGCACTGCATGAGACAAATGGTGGTCACACCAGATCCTCACCGGTTCTGAGTCCCCAGACCCCCAATAAATGTCTGGCACACCTGTGAGGTGGGATGGATTATCTCAGCAACGCACAGGTGCTCACTATCACACATTGGCTGATTTTTGAACAATGTTTCAGAGAAATGGTAATATTGTGTATCTGGAATGAATTTTAGATCTTAAAGTCCATCTCATGAAAATGGGAGCAGAAAAAAAGGTGTTGCGTTTATATTTTTGTTGAGTGTACTTAGAGGTCGATCGATATTGGTTTTCTAGTGCCAATACCAATGCGAGGCAGGCATGTTCGGTTCTGGCGTTTTTGGGCCGATTTCATGACTGGTGTCTTGATGTTTGGTACCTTATCTGAATCCTAAATTATCACTAACAGTGAGTGCACAACATTTCTGAGCCTAATCTTTATTTAAACACTTTCTCTAAGTGTTTTTCTCCTCAGAAGAAGCTACAATGGTGTTCCGCTAAGCTGTGGTCATCGTCTAGCACACTGCTGCTAACCACTGAGCAAGTCACCCCCTACCAGAGTCTAACTCGACTCCCACTTCATGTTTGAAAAATGCAACAAATGCTGTTGCCTGGCAGACCGAGAGGGCGGAGCTGCTAACAAATACACACACAGGCTCACGACAGCATTGTGACATCGTAATGTACCACTTTACATCATAGCATATCTCTTAGCCAATAGCGGTGGCAGATTTAAATTAAAATACAGTGCAGAGTTTTTATCTGACAACGGCACAACACTGCCAGTTTTAGGCAGAATATTTAAATTTTAACTAAGATGCACTGAAATGCCAAATTGTTGACTACACGTGTCTGCAGCACGATTAGACACCCGTTTATTTAGTTTATCAGCAAAAAAAAAAAACGTTTATTTGGGGATGACTTGCTCTTTAAACATTCTCCATCCCCATGTCAAAGAAAATAACATTTAACTTTCGTTGACATTGAATGTGCTACTACTAGTTTACCTATTGAATTATAGATTTACTGAGATAAAGACAGTTTATCTCTCACTAAATAGAATATTTACTAAGAGATCACAATGTAACCATAGACGCATTACTTGGTATACGTGTAGAGCTCCTTCCAGTGAAAGGGTGTGTGTGTGTGTGTGTGTGTGTGTGTGTGTGTGTGTGTGTGTGTGTGTGTGTGTGTGTGTGTGTGTGTGTGTGTGCGTGCGTGCGTGCGTGCGTGTGTGTGTGTGAGCACCATGTGGTAATCTAGGTGCTGTGGAGGAAAATAGAGAAATTATTGTAAAAGGCAGACACAGTGCAAAGTTTGGGATCAAGAGTTAATCTACGAGCAGAATTGCTAATGCTAAGCTAGCGGGTAGCATTCTCAAGAGCAAGTGTGGTTCAGAAAAAACGTGATGGTTGTGAACGACTAAACTCCACAAGCGGAAGAAAAATCCGCATCACCGCGTTTACTTGGGGATCTCTGCAGCAGTGTGGGCCAGAGCCGCTGCAGCTAGAGCCCTGCACGGACCTAAAATCTGAGCTCGTGTCCGGCCCGGCCCGAGGGGGTGGAGCCCCAGCCCGACCCGGCCCGCAAAGGTTTTCAGGATTCTCTGGCCCGACCCGAGCCCGAGTCCGACTTTTTTTAACCAACTAAATGAAAACAAAGTGCGTCAATCCTGACCAATGTGTTAAAAGACGTGCAGCATCCGATGAATTTGTTTTTCCCTCGTTTACCGTCACGGAGATAACGGCGCACTGGCTCTGGTGTTAATCAAGTTAAATTTTATCTATTTCCAAAAATTTTCACAAGAAAACAAAACAGTCAAAAGCAGGGCTTGTGTTGACCGGACAGTTCCCGTATTTGACGGTTTATTTTGACGGAGAAAGAATAGAAAGAATTACCCCGACGCATGCAGACGAACTGACATTTTATTCTACACACATCGCAGATGTAGCTAAATCACCCAAGAAAAGATTCCCATCTGAACATCTGAGCTGCTCAGCGCAGCTCGCTGTCAGCGCATATGTGCACAGCGAGCTGAAGTTGTGGAGAGGGGCATGGAGCGCATCGCAGAACCAGAGCGCATGCGGGAAGGTTCCTCCCACTGAAGCGAGTGTTTTCCAAACCCTGTCGCTCAGAGAGACCTGTCACTTAGAAAATGTTCCCTGATTATGAAACTTTGTCTGAATAGTGCTTGTTCCTGTCTCCAATGTGGCGACACATCCAGGAGGAGAATCTCACATCCTCTTCAGCTCAGAAAGCGCCTATGATTACGCACAAGCGTGACCCGTCAACCCGGTCTCACAGTAAGACCGGGTTGGACCTGTTCAGGTTTACGCAGACAATCTTTACATAGAATTGACTTACAGATATAAAATTAATTCAGTAAAATATAAAGCATTTTATTTAAAAATCCATTCATTATTTTACAAGCACAGAGAGCCGCATCAGATGGATGGAAGAGCCGCAGGTTGTGACATGTTTTCTCCAGGACCAGAGGACGCAAACTCGATACATCTCTTTTATTGTGAGGTAATAATTTCTCCGAGTTTTGCGGTTGCGGGTGGGAGTAGGCATGCACGCTACGGGCGCGGGCGGGAGTGTAACACACACGTTGCAGTTGCAGGCGGTAATTGTCAGAAATTCAGCGGGAGCGGGCAGGAGCGAGATGAAGAAAACAGTCCAGCGCAGGGCTCTACTGCTGCTTTTGTGTTTCAATTTTTTTAATGAATTGGATTAAAAATAAAGGCGCCCGGCCTGGCCCGTGTCCGAGGTGATTACACAGTCGTTGGCCCGAAGCCCGGCCCGAGGGCCATCGGGCCGGGCCGACCCGAGGGCCTAGGGCTTCAGTGCAGGGCTCTAGCTGCAGCTACCGTCTGGTTGTTGCTACGAGTCTACTCCATCCACCGCAGAAGAGTTTGGCAAGCCATTGTATCATGTAATTCACTAACACTTTTAAATTTCAGTATAATTTAGACTAGATTATGTTGCCAACCCATACATAATAAAATAAACATACCACAGGTACATTGTTACAAGTAGAAATTAAATGTTAGCATTTCTAGTAGCTTACTATTGAACATGTTAATGAAATAATTTAATTGTACTGAGTATATGTGGTTATTTTCAGATATGTTATTGTGACTAGGATGAGGTCAATACAACCTAAATTGTGAATGAAATGTAAATCAAATGTTCCAGAAAATATGTATTAACTATAATTATCAGCTGGGACTGAGGGTGTCGCGAGCGTGTACTTTTATACGCTTTTAGAATACGCTGCTAAAACATCCTGTTAACCAAACAGTTTATAAAAGTAGACCACGAAAACGTGACTATCATACACAGTAGTGATCTGCGTGGTGCCTACTCATCTATGTCAATGTCTTTGAGGACGGACCTCTGTAATGAACAAATCTACACTAATTTAATAAAAGAAAATTATTTTTTTATTACACTGACAAGATATTTCAGAATCAGCTTTATTGTCAAGTACGTGAGTTAGACTCAGCTACCAGGAATTAGCTTTGGTGGTTTTTATAGTGTTTTGATTATATGCACTGTTTTTTGTCAGTGTGTTTAAGTAATTGTAAGAGCTACTTTTGGTTTTTAGAGATTGTAACAAACTTTTTATGCTGGTGCTTCAACTTTTTGTTCTGTACTACTAAACCTGCAACCTTCATAGCACCAGTGCTATAAGCTAAAATGTTAACGTACACCCCTGATATAGTCAGTAAAATAACAGAGATGTTATCATAGAGCACACTGTGCCAAACTAACAACGCAGAGCTGGCATTTGTCGTTTGACACTGGGTCCAGACTTTTAGAAATAACTGAAGCTTGTAAACAGGAGCAAGCCAGACGTTATTTCTTGTACCCCTAAGAAGCCATGGCATCTTTATTTTTCACATTAATGGAAACACGCTAGAGGCTAGCGTTGAGCTAATAATGCTAACGTTAAATTAGAAGCAAATTATTGGCTCTAAAAATTACTCAAGCTACTTTTTACAATCACCAACAACTCGATATTACACTGAAATGCATGTGTGAAGTGAAGCTAGCAGCAAGACAGCTAACTCCTCCATGTCATGTTTTTGGGGGATTCTTCTGGCCCTGGCCCAAGACATACAGAATCAGAAAAGCGAGACAGCTGGGTGAGTAAAATGTAACAAAAGGTTCATTTAACTAAAGGAGCACCATCCAAAAGGGAGGAGAAGATCTCAGCAGTCTGCCGGTCCGAGGGAGAGGGTCTAGAAACAGACACGAGTCCGTAACTGTTGGCAGGTGAAGCAGATGAATAAACTGTGCTTACAGTTCCGGTGGGGGAGAACAAGTTCCTGAGGGAAGGGAGGTCAGGTCTGAGTGTGGTAACCAAGTTTTTAGGAATCCTTTGATGGAACTCGAGAGCAGGATGCAGGAGGGGGCAGGTGAGCGGTGGAGAACGGGTCGGTTTGGTTTGAGGAGCGAGGCGTGGTTTAGGGGTGAGATCCAAGGAAGTATGATGGAGTGGTGAGCATAGAGGCTTGTGTTCTGGAGGCAAAGGGAAATGGGGACAAACATCAGAGACAACAAGAAACTAGTACTTGAAACGTAAGGTTAATTAGACAAGTGCTACTCAGGTTGAGTTGTGTACCCAAGGTAAGGTGAAGGTGTCTCACTCCTCCCTTTATACCCAGCCAGGTTGATGGTGGATCAGCAACAGCTGCCCGCTCCTTGGCACCGCCCACCTGTAATTAAGGACTCACAAGTAGTTTTTTAATTGGCATCCACAACCCTCCATGGCACTCTACTGCCAAAGACAAGCTACTGTAATAGATGTAGTAAGTGCTCACCCAAATTGTCAACCACCCAAGAGTAGACAATGTCTTTATCTAATTATCAGCGTCCCAGCAAATATGCGCCTTTGGGCCCAAGTTGTCCAGGTTTAGTAGCATTCCTAGCATTCGTGTACTTGTCTCCATATGTTTAAGTAGACAAAGTTAGACTTTAACCAGTAATGTGTGTTGACGCTTCCATATTGTGGGGCGTTTTGCTGGTCCACAACAAAGCACCCTAAAACTAGAATTTAGAGGTGTGGTGTGAAAAAGCCTTTAGTTTAGGTTAGTTGAGGTTAGAGTTAGGAATAGAACCACATTGGTTAAGGTTAGGGTATGGGTTAGGCTTAGGGGGTCACTAAATATAACCAAATATACAACTAATTAGAAAATCTTACACCAAGCTAACTTTAACTAATTCCAACACATTTAGAGAAAAAAGAATGGATAGAAATTATGATTCACAAGAATTCAACAACAAATGACCAAAAGGGTGGAGTTCCAAGTTTGTTTTAACATAGTTTAACTTACTCTTTAAACCTTTCTCAAACATAACTGTATTATCTTCTGCTAGATGGGCCACATTTGTCTGACAAGATAAGGAGGTCTCAGGTTTCAACCTGCACCTCCTACCTTCAGTCATGTTGACTCCATCAGCATGTGCATCTACCAACCCAGTTAGCAGCATTCAGGAGCTCTCCTGTCCATATCTCTGTCCAGATGTCAGTTCAGACGTCCATCATCAGGAGAAGACTGGGGATCCGAGCAGCTTTCCAGGTCCTCAGCTGTCAGAGGGACCCTGCAGCTTTTGAGTAAGAATACACACACACACACATGTTTGTGTGGACCTCCACTGACTTTCACTCATTTTAGTGACTCCACTATGCCTAACCCATACCCTAACCATTGCTGATCTATTCCTGAACACTTGAGTCACACCATACCTCTAAAACCAAGTTGTACGATTAAAAAAATGTGAGGACCAGAAAAATGTACTCACTCTGTTGGTTAAAGTCTCATGATAGTCCTCAGTATGTAGTAAGTACAAACACACACGCACACACACACACACACACACACACACACACACACACACACACTGATCATTTCTGTCTCCCAGGGAAGCTGTGAGTGTTGATGCTGTCTTGGAAGTGATGTCTAAAGTCAAGATAAAGAGCTACTATAGAAATGCCATCAACATGGTCAGAGCCAACACACACACACACACACACACACACACACACACACGCACACACATAACCAGAAACTCAAACCTCTGGTTGGAAAGAACACTTCTCTTTTTAACTCATGTCCTGCTGTTTCTTGTGATGCTTATGAGACTGCCTCAGTTTGATGTGTTTGGTTCTGGTGCTCCAACATGGCAGCTGTTTCAGCGGCATGCAGGCGTCGGCCATGTTGATCTACAGCAGTTCAAAACAACTTTTGATGAACTAGATAAAGAACTCATCAAGGAGGTAGTACTGTCCTCACAGAGCTCCTTCCAGTGAGAGGGCCTTTGTGTGTATGACGTGTGTGTGTGTGTGTGTGTGTGTGTGTGTGTGTGTGTGTGTGTGTGTGTGTGTGTGTGTGTGTGTGTGTGTGTGTGTGTGTGTGTGTGTGTGTGTGTGTGTGTTGCAGCACCCTCCGTTGCCTCAGTACTCGTCTCCAGGTCTTCGGAGGCTGCAGGTGATCTTCAGTCACCGCTATCTCACTCTACTCGGAAATGTCCTGGCCCTGGCTAACGTCACTTCCATATGTGTACGTTTGAGACACTCACACACACGCACACACGCACACACACACACACACACACACACAAAAGCCTCTTGTGATAGTATTCTGGTGTTTCAGATTATTCTGGTGTTGAATTCTGAGAAATCAACTACAGAGAGAGACAACTATCAGGTGGAGGTGAACATCCTTGAAGAATCGTCATTTCATCTTCAAGATACCTGATTTTACCATCAGAACCATACTCTACTGATGGACCCCATGTGTCCTCTGTCCCTCTGCCAGGTCAGCAACTTGTGCTTCATCCTCTACTACCTGTTTGAGATGGTTGTGAAGATCTTTGCGTTTGGCTGGAGGGGTTATCTGTCCTACAAGAGCAACATGTTTGATGGTTTACTCACGCTTCTGTTACTGGTAAGATGCTCATGCTACACAATAATGTTGTCACGGTGAAACAGCAAAAACAACCTCAGACTCAGTCCAGGACCCTCATTTATCAAACGCTCGTACAAACTGTCCTACGACCCAAATGTAGAATGTGTGTAGGAACAGTCAAAAGACTGAATAATGAAATGTGCGGTGGCCTCTCGTACGCACGTTTCAAATCCCACCTGTGCGTACCCAGGGGCTCGTGTCTGTTCACCAACCTTTACATACACCCTCAGTTAGCCATATGTGGTCACGCTACATCCTCAGTAGGTGAGGAAATTCCCTGTTTGTTTGTTTTTTTCAGAAAAAAATAAGAAAAACTTTATTGACAGTGAGATCGAGACGCTGGCTGCCAAAGCGCAAAAGAACCAAACAAGGTGCAGAGGTTATGAACGCGGTCGGGACAGAGGAGAGGTTCCTGTCAGGAATAAATAAAATGGAAATGTTGTCTGAGTGCAGCCTAAGCCTCTGCTGAGCTGTCATTCAGTCTGGTTGCCTTGGCAACGCGTCGTGTATGACCGGGGAGCAGGAGGTTCTGGGGGGTTCTCATAGTTGTAAAATAAAATATGAACTGGAATCAGACTTGTGAGGTATGGCAGCACTTCATCCTCCAGGAAAGAGGCCGCTTGTTCAAATCAAATCAAATCAAAGCTTTATTTATAAAGCGCCTTCCGCAACCCTGTCAGGAAGCCCAAGGCGCTTTTGCATTTGTTGTTTGTTGCATTTGAAGAAAACAATGTATGTTTATCTTGTAAAACTGTACAAAAATAAGAATATAAAATACAAAAGAAGTATCTTTCAAGTACAAAATTACAAACAAATAAGGTCTTCATTCGGAGTAACACTTTCAGAGAATAACTAACAGTCACATCCTACAAATGTTATCTGTTCAAAATACAAACTTCTTTATGCAAATAATTGAAAATGGCAGCAAAACGTAATATAATATTGAATGCATGAGAACTTACGGATGAAGCTGATATTATGGACATTAAGACCAAGATTGATGAGATTGTCACAAGATTTTTCCCTGCAGCAAAGAAGCACACTACCATCTGAAGATGGCTCCCTCTGTCCCATTACTTCTTTTTATGTCACTTCCTTTACCTAACATATTTCCTTAGCTACCACTAGGTGGCAGTAATACTTCTAAATAACAATAATGAATCCATTACATGACATGAGGTTTGTGTGTCACGGCTCAAAGGGTCCCAAATCACGACATAGCAGAAGGATTCTTCCTCACGGAGGAGCAGACACTTGTTAGAAGGGAACTAAAGGCTTTGCTACTCAGTGTTAAAACAGGAATCCCACCTTGATCTTAGAATCAGGTGTGTGTGTGAGCAGGGACACGTAGAAAACATGCAGCCACTGGCCTTCAAGGACCAGGTCCAACTCCTACAGAGAATAATCATTTTACCGGTAATTATAGTGTTTTTAAGACCAGATTTTTACCTCTTTGAATGGCTTATTGGTGCATTCATTGTGAGAAGCCTGACAGCAGCGCATCGGGGAACCGAACCAGAACCTGGAAAACAGCAATCCCTGCGCACCATAGTGCAACTTTCATTGATAGTATAAACGCTTATTGTTATCTTAGGCTCCATCTGACCACTTCTTTAAATGTTTTTATTTATTTATTGATATCCGCTGATCACCCCGCGGCTCCAAAGCTCGCTGCTGTACCAGCACGGTGCTGCTTGAAGGGAATACCTCACAGCCGTCGCGGTTGTCATGGGTACCCACGACACTAGGTAGATAAGCAGGCTTATTTATATGCACAATACTCATAACTTAGTTTACATTAACCATTTATGGCAGAAAGTGGGTGTATAGGAGGTGGGATGTGACCCTGAAACACCTGAGCTCATTTCTAGGACAGGTGTGATTTATAAAGCAGGAACTGCAGCAGTGAGTGTGTGAGCAGAGGTCAGAAAATAAGTTTGAGAGAGCCTCCAATCACTGATGTCAAAAAAAAAATCAATAAAAGTCCTTTTTAATGGGTCTGATTTAGTTTTTTTATTACTCTGTTCAGTTAAGTAAGTAAATCTGTTGTTTGAGGTTAAAAATGGTAAAACATATTTATAATAACCTCTTCATGTCTGTTTGGTCCCTCAGGTCCTTCAGGTCTCCATCTTCATCACCTCAGGACTTCCTGATTCCTACTGGTGGGTTTCTGTTTTCTCTGCTCTTGTAATAACCAAGGGCCTCGTTTAGGGAGGTCTAGAAAGTCATTTTCTACACAAACTTTGTGATTTATGAAGAACAACAGAAAAATCACCCATACTCCCTAGTCTCCCTGGGGTCTCCACGCTCCAAGTGAGACCCATGGATCTCTGAGACTTGGAGCTCCCGCCGTCTCCTTCACATCTTTGGGGGGCAGATCTGTGGCCCCTCACTCTCTATTGGATGCTCCTATAGAGAAACCCTACATAAACAAGAGTGTGTACACACACAGGTGCTCACATGGTGCTCTCATAAGTATGGACTTGGGCACGTTCAACACATGTCTTAAGGCTGTGGTTGGCATTAAATGCACTGTGATTTATTATTGTCTGCTTTTCAGATAAAACTGTTACTTTTACGTATCCTCATGTTGTTGGTGCAGTGATATTTTGGTTTTGTTGTATTTTTGTGTGTCCTCTTTTCTCTCTGTCTTTCTCTCTGTCTGCAGGTCTAGAAGCAGATTCTTGTACTTCTTTTATTATTTATTTTGTGAACCCACCACCACCCTTTTCCTCTCCATCCTTTCTCTTTCTTTTCCGTCTCCGTGTCCGATGAGAAAAAGATAAAGATTCCCTAAAGCATTCATATTAGATCTATGTGCTG